ACAATAAGCTTAACTTTTATATTATGACTTAACTTATGATTTTTACAATATTTATAATTTTTATTTTTATTCTACTCTCTATTTTAGTCTGAAGACCACATTTAATGTCGAAATGTATGCCTTTGTTTTTGTACATACTTATATATTAAACTTATATATTAATATTTGTTAAATAAAATACGTATTATTGGTGCTTATATTCTAGCTTATGTTAATCTTTTGTCTTGTTAATTTTGATTTTTTTTATTGAGCTTTTATTTACATTAATTTTTATTCATTTCATATTTTAATCAATATAATTTAAAAAATATTCCAGAGAACATAATAAAGTTTTAAAGACGTCTAAAAGATGTATTCAAATATAAGACATCTTATTAAACTATAAAAAGATATCTTTAAGACATCTTATGATCTGATTTACGATGTCTTTAGGACGTCTTATAGACATCTTATCTTTCGATAAATGAATTATCTTTTAAACATCTTCTAGATGTCTTATTTGGAATCTTTTGGCATTCTATAATGAAAAATAAAAATTAATTATACGAGAAAGCATTGACAAAAGGAAGAATACAGAAACAGAATTTGGAATTACCTAATAAATCAATATATCATTGATATAATACATGTAATACATTATATAATATTGATAATGATTTATCTGTTACCATCATTTTGTCGTCAGAAAAGCTCTATAGATATTAAGTCATTGATATATCGATTTATCACGTAATTCCAGTTTCTGGAATATTACAACTCTTGTATTCTTCCTTTCAATATGTTTCCGAATAGCTTCTTAATTGCTTGTAACATTATAATAATACCAAATATTGGAATATTAAATCAACCAATATTTTTATACGTTACATTATATCGAAATGGGTCATGTTATTTAATTATTTCAGTCAATGAATGTGCTTGTCGATAAATGTACAGATAATGTAAATAACTATACAAGCTTGAAAAAATTTTATCTAAAAGTCAACATTTTAGACGTCTTTAAGTAAAGGATGTCTTTCAATGCAATATTAAAAAGGACTTTTGAACATCTTTTGCTGAAATCTTAAAGATGTCTCTTTTAAAACATTTTTATGATGTTTTTTTAAACATCATGTTGTTTGGGATATTTCTTTTATTTCTCGAAAATATGTATTATTGTATAACTAATCTACCCTAATTTAAGAAAATAGTATAGCATATGCTATCCGCAATGCGCATAATTATTCATTTTGAAAAATTATTAAATGATGTTATATGATTGTTGATGGCAAAGCGTAATAAGACATTTTACTAAACTATTAGAAAGATGTCTTTATAACATCTTTAAGGCATTTTATATGAGTCGATCTATAATGTCTTTGAAGCATTTTATTTTTTGATGAATAACATTTTTTAGACATCTTCTAGATATTTTATTTGGATTATTTTAGACATTTTATAGTATAATAAAAATTAATTATACGAAAACGCATTATCAAGAAAAAGAATATGACGCAGAAGTTGGAATTATTTAAATAAATCGATACATACACACACACACACACACACACACACACACACACACACACACACACTACTTATTATAATGATATAATTACTTATATACTTTGATGACAATCTATCTGTTACAATCAGAG